TTCTAAGTTAGTAGTGAATGTAACGAATGTACGCAAGTTAACGTAATTAACTACAAAATATATTATAGAATTGATTATAACGAATTAATCGCACAAAAGAAAGAAGTAAAGTTTTTCATTGTAAATAAAATAGTTGCAACCAAACAATTAATTAATTTATGGACTTTTAGACTGAGCTCAGTGTTACAATTAAACTCGAGATGAAATCCTAATATCTTTTCAAAAGGCGAGGAAGTCTTCCTCTCGCTTGCTCTCGTGAATTCTGCAAGCGATAACCGCAAAGGGTAACCTTGAGAGGATTGAAAATCCCTCTCGTAACAGTAGACGATAGTCTAACGTTCTCACCTCGTAACGGTAGACGAGAGTCTAACGTTCTCACCTCGTAACGGTAGACGAGAGTCTAACGTTCTCACTCATGTATATTGATAAAGGTTACCTTTTGATTGAAGATAACATCACATAGGATGTTCACACAATGAACATATGTCGAAAGGAATATATATCCAAAAACCCATTTATCCAAGACTTCGAAAGGGCGTTTTGCCGAAAAGGCTTTCTCGAACGTTCCAGAAAATGGCTGCCTTCCTCGAGCTTTCCACGTGCCGGCAAGGCTCGCTGGGACGTATCTCACTGGCTTCCTTTCTGCGACGACAGTTGTTGTCCCTTATTTGCTGCGTATACGATCCACCGGTATATTGGCTGCTGCACACTGAGAGGCAGATCTCGGCTACCTCACAACTCGATTACAAGTTAACAGCGAAAAGATGACGCAACTAAGTATTTTACTCGAACTGATTACAACGGGTGTGTAACGCACGATGTCCGGAAGACGAATGCTCGCTCGCCCGGGCTGCGCGCCCCTCCCAAACTCCCAACATGCTCAAGCATGCGCGGTAAACTTGCGCCTCGCCGCCTGGGACGCAATGTAGTCGGCGCCGCTTGCGCGCCTTTTCACCGACCTACGTAGAATGCGCGGCCCGACCTATCGCATTACAACTGCCACTAATGGCCGCAAAAAAACAACACAACCTCTCTCTCTCTCTCTTTCAACTTCAAACACAATGTAAGTTTCTGAATCACTTCCATCGGAATCACTCAACACTTCTCCTACGTTTATATTGTCATTTATATGATCTACATAACAAATAATAAAATATATTTCTTCATTATACATTTGCTTCGATATTATTCATTACATGATATATATGAATTATAACCTTCTGATGTTGTTTCTGAATCACTTCCATCGGAATCACTCAAACCTTCTCCTACGTTTACATTTACATCATCCATGTGATCTACATAAAAAATAATAAAACATATTTCTTAACTGTACTATTACATACAATACAATATTTGCTTCGATATTATTCGTGGATGTATATGATTAATACCTTCTGATGTTGTACCGCTAGTACTTGGT